GCCCATTTTTCATGTATTTGTGTGAGCTAAAAAAGGAAACAAAGCATTTTAATCGATAGTTTTCACTAAAACCGACTGGCGCCTCCTTTTTACTGGTTAGCACAAGGCAGCCAAGAGTTCTTGGGACAAGCCTTCTTTTACCATTTATGCCTTTTAAAAGACCGCTGATTGTGTTTGGGAATCTTGTGTCCTTTAAGAGAAGACTATGAGCCCTTTATCTGCTGAGCGTTGCTTCTGGGATGCATGCAGCGTATCCAGGGCTCCCTGACTCAGTGTCCTTTCTGGTTGGCTTTGTCCCTAGGCCCCTTTTCTCGGCTGACAGATCTGGCCTTTGACTTTTGTGATTTGACTTTTGTGGTTTGAAGATCACAGTTTACAGGAAACTAATGAGAAGCAGTGTAGGGAAGAATAACCCTCAGTTGGAACCAACCATTGTAACAAAAGATTAAGAGGAAATAAAGTCTATTAACTCGTTTCACATAGGTGTGGGGGGGGGAGGGGGAGGATCTAGGAGTGAGGAGGCTCTGATAGCAGCTTGCCTAGCATATTCAACAGAGAAGGGAAAATCTGTAAAGTGACGAGACAAACATAAATCACCCTGTCTCAAGGGGTGGCACCTCAGGAACAGCGAGGAAGTGGCAGAGCCTAGTTATTAAAGTGTGTCCCTGGAGCAGCTTCTGCTTACCATCTACAGCAAGGTGCAAGAGCTTCAGTGGTCAGTGATCTTCTCTAGGGTTGAATTAGGAGATGCTGTTTGTCTTACAACACCGTGCCCTGCTTTTAGGCTTCCGATAAAGGAGAGCTGAGAGTTTTCGCGATTCTGCTCCCACTAACTGTCCTCAGCTCAGCTCAGTATGTGCACCAGCTTTTCCTGGCTCCCTACTTTTGCGTAATGGCCTTCAGAGCTTCTCAGTGTACAGTATATGAAGCTGTCCCGTCTCCTGGTACCCTTCCTGCCTTAACCTGCACCTCACATTTCGTAGGCTGGAAAGCCGACTCCTTTCCTTGGTACCTGTTACACGGTTTTGAACATCTTTGCCCTGTCCCTCCGTCTTCTCCTTCAGGACCTGACATACTCCCATCTTCTTTGCTAAGAGGAGTTCTTAGAGCCACAGTGGGATGGGGCTCCTTGTAATGTGAGTGTGTCCATGTGAGCTGCAGTGTCTTCACTGCGTGTCATCCCAGAGTGTAGACTACAGGAGGCAGCCCTCTCCTACATGTGTCTCTCCGTCTTTAGGATGTCTAGGCCTGTGGTGAATGTCCAATGTGCACTTAGCGAACTCAGCTGCAGCCACATGTATGCTGTGATGATTGATCTTGAGGATCAGGTGATTGGATTGAGATCTACCTAGGCTATTAGTCAAGTGCGCTTCTGTGTGCATCCGTCAGGGCGATTTCAGAGATGAAAGGGGTAAGGGAGACCTGCTCTAATGATTGTGGGCAGCCCATTTCAAAAGGCCGGAGCCTGTCCATGGCCTCCCTACCTTCGTAGGTACTCCTCCCAGTGTGGCACACCCACCATGCTGTGATGGACTGCAGCCTCGTGACCAAAAGTAACAGTAAATCTTAGCTCCCCACTATGCAAAAAAAGATGTATTTATTATGTATACAATATTCTACCTGCACTTATGCCTGCATGCCAGTAGAGGGCGCCACCATGTGGTTTTTGGGAATTGAATTCAAGACCCCCATCTCCCCAGCCCAAGAATTAGCCCTTTAACCACTTCTCTTGAGTGTTTGTCCCAGCCATAAAAGTCTTGACACGTCAGAGATTCTATGAACAAGAACTAAAATGATGTCAAACTTCCGGGAAAGACCATTTTGAATACTGAATAAGCAGGTGTATAGCCTTCTCCCCAGAGCTGGATTTGAGTTTTAACTTAGTAAATGTTTAACAGCATGGAGCTTTTGGGTACCAGTCTTGGTTTCCCATTTGTATGTTGTTATTGGCCAATGCCTGAATGGTAACACAGGTCTGGCATATATATGTAGGTTACCTCCAGCCTCTTGAATTTTCTCTCATTCACTGTTTTCTTATCTACTTTCCTTCCTTAGGTTATTCTCTTTAGAAAGAGGTCAGGCTGCCCCCTGCAGGCATGTGATAGATTCCAGGCAGTGCACACATTTTAGAAAGCACTGGAAGCCAGTTGAGCATGGTGGCGCACACCTTTAATCCCAGTGCTCTGGAGGCAGAGGCAGGCAGGTCTCTGAGTTCAAGGCCAGCCTGGTCTACAGGGTGAGTTCCAAGACAGCCAGAGCTACACAGTGAGATCCTGTCTCAGAGCAACAACAACAAAAACAAACAGGAAAGAAAGGCAGAAAAGTAAGAAAAAGCAGTGGAAATTTTCTGGGAAGATGGGGTAAAACAACACAGTGCTTCATCTTAGTTATTTAACTGGGGCTGTGAAACCTGGCCCCAAGGCCTCACAATGCTTTTATGTTGCTCATCATTTCCTTGACTCCTATTTATTCAGATTTTTGCCTCGCTGGGAAAATCTATCCAAAGAAAGGGGAAACTATGTTTAGTTTTAAATGGAAAGCAGAAGAATGTTGGCAGTTACAGCAGTCTGTGAAGTTTCCAGACCAAACGTCTATGACTCAGATTTTGGACAAAAGAAAGCAGTTAAGCCCTTCTGTTTAGATTTAACTGTTTAATTCCCCTCCTTATTTCAAACTGGCCAGCTGATCAGATCCCTGAGTTTGATCCCTGACCTCATCCATTACCACCCCTTTCTCAGGGTGTGGACTTTGAGCATTTTAAAAGGTGTGTGTGTGCGTGCGTGCGTGTGTGTGTGTGTGTGGGGGGGGTGTGTGGGGGTGGGTGTGTGTTTTTCTCCCGTGGCTCTAACTCAGTATCCACATGTACCAGGCTCTACCACTTAGCTTCATCCTGATGTCTCAGAGTCAATGAGCATTGTTTATAGCGTATTTCTTTGGCACCAGACAAGAAAGACAGGAAATAATATGTAGTAGCCACTGTTTTCAGAGATACAGAGGTCACTGATTTTCTTCCCTAAAATATTTCAGAAATTTATACTCCCAGACTTAAGAGGGACTTCCTGTTTTACACATTTTTTTTTTAAATTAGCAAGCCATTAATTAAAAAGAAAATGGCAAGTCTGTCTTGAGACAATAGAATTGTTGTTCTTTAGGCTTTTCTTTCCATACATTCATTTTGCCAGAAAAAACAAAAAAACAAACAACAACAACAAAAAACAAAACGAGGCTCAGATAGCTTTGACAGTTGGTTCAAGGTCATGGGATCAGAATGAAAACCAAAATCACAATGCAGGTTTCAAATTCTTCTTTTCCTTCATAATTGGTTTCTTTTCCTAATTTGATTTTATGTGCAGTACACTATTTTCCTTTTGAAGCATGCTTGTTTTTTAATTTATTATTATTATAGCATAAGTATAATGGTGAGAAATGACTTTTAATTCTGAGAAGTGTTCTGGTGAGGAGGGTTTGGTGCAATCTGTTAGCAAGGGGAGTTGTGTAATTACCTTTCTATGAGATTAGTGTTCAGAATCACACCCGGCTCAAACTGTCCTGGAGGGAGTACGGCAGGAAACAGAATGCAGGACACTGACAGGTTTCAGCAGGACCCTCCACACTGTCTTAGTTTCAGCTCATGGGATCTCCATCCTCAGGACATGCTCATGTACCGCTGTCCTGTGGGCAGAGGATTCAGATCCCCACCAGAAATTCATTTATTTCAAGAGTTGAAGCAACTGGCTGAGCATCAGTAGTTACACGATGCTATTGTGTAATTATGCTCTCTGCATGGTCCTGGTCAGGCGACTGTGGAGACGCCAGGTTTTTTTTTTTTTTTTTTGGCTTGCTTTGGCGTTTGTCTGTCTTGTAGCACAGGTCTTGTAGTGGGAATCATTACTGCCCTGTCCCTGTGGAGCAGACAGGCAGGGTATTCTGGAACCTTTGCCACCTTCAGTCCTGAAAGCAGAGGTTCTGGGCAGGTTGGGAGTACAGCACTGTTACAGGCTGAACGCCAGTGTCATGCTAGAGTTATTCAGATTCTGCAACACAAAATTTACGTTGTCAAATGGACTTGCACAGAGGCCTCCTAACCTACGCTTTAATTTTTTAAAAAATACTTTAATAGAGGCTGACACAAAGTTTGTAAAAAAGAGTACACAGAATGCTGTATACTGTTACTCAGTTTTCATTTATGCGTTTTACAAGGTGCCTCTTGATCTGTTACATGTTAGATCAATGGTTCTCAACCTGTGGGTTTGCTCCTTTAACAGGGGTTACATATCAGATATCGTGCGTATTATAAATTTATATTACAATTTATAACAATAGCAAAAATTAGAGTTTTGGGGTAGCAACAAAAATACTTTTATGGATGGGAGTCAACAGAGCATGAGGAACTGTTTGAAAGGGCCACAGCATTAGGAAGATTGAGAGCCACAGTGTTAGTGTCAAGATGGATGGATGGGAGGTAAAAACACAGCTGGGCATTGGTGGCGCACGCCTTTAATTCCAGGACTAGGGAGGCAGAGGCAGGCAGTTGTCTGTGAGTTCAAGGCCAGCCTGGTCTACATAGCAAGTGCCAGGACAGGTTCCAAAGCTACAAAGAAAAAACAAAAACAAAACAACCCCAAAACAAAACAAGATTCCCCACAACTCTTTGTTAAGGTGGCACTGGTGTGTCAGGAAGTAAATAAAATCAGGATATTACTTACATTTAAAATTGTAATCCTGTATAGTAGTTCATGATAATATTTAGTCTGAGGTATTAAAAATTAGTTAATGGTTCTGGTCATCTTTATGAATTGTTACTCTGAAAATCAGTTTTTTTTTTTTTTTAGGTTTTAAATTTAAATTAAGTTTTCAAGTAATGAGAGAATAAAAATGCAAAATGGCTGTGTAGGTGAACACCGTGTGAAACATGTTTCTTTTAACAGCCCTGCCTGGGTTAGGAGCGGTAATCTTGAGTGGGAGTCCCAGGACTGACGGGTGTTGCTTATTCTGTGCAGGTTCGGAAACACGTGAATGATCTCTACGAAGACCTGAGGGATGGGCACAATCTGATCTCCCTTCTGGAGGTCCTTTCTGGAGACACCTTGGTAAGTTTAGAGACTTCCTAATTTATTTTGCTGAGCCTGTACGTCTGTACACACGTGACCAGGGTGCTTGCAGCATAGATTTCCTAGGGTTTATTCTTCACACTATGAACACAGCCAGAAGGAAAGAGGTCTGTCCGGTTGCTCCAGCAACCCATCTTCATGTGACGTCAGCATGGAGCTAGAGTCGTCTTTGCTTTTGTGATAGGTTCTATAATTAACAGACTGTTTTTCTTTGTGCTTCTTTCTTTTCTTTTTTTTTTTTTTTTGGTTACCTTCGGGTTTTTTCCTGATTTTTCGTTTTGTTTTTGCTTTAAAAGAAGTCAGGTAAATAAAAAAAGAAGTCAGGTATGCAGTGTAGCCACACACGGAAAGACTCACACGTAGCAGGGAAACAGACTTCACTCTCTGAGGAGGGGGCTAACCCAGGCGTCGTCTCCCTCCTGTGTGATCATTACTCCCTTTCTCGGTTACCTGTTCTCCCTCATTGCCTTCCGGTCATGCTCTTCTTTTCATTCCCGGTCTGTCTGTACCCTTGCTGTCCTGTCTTCTGTCTGTTATATTCATTAGCCAAGGGAGCGAGACTTTCTGAAGACCTTACGGTTGGTGAGTGCAACAGCAGCATGCGGGTGTGAGCAGCATGAGGATGTGGAGGATGAGGACAAGGGGGTAGGTGTCCCCCCGTAACGCACTAACCTCGCAGGCGGTGTGTGCAGCACTAACGTGGTAGGCCAGTAACTCACCGGCTCCAGCCCTAGAGCAGGGTGGTCACGTGTGTTGAGACAGTGGACAGAGGAAGTATTTTCTCTTTTAAGGTGTCTTCAGAGCTCAAATGACTGACTTATTTAGACATTAGCTATTTTTATTTTTTACACTGTGTATAAACTTAGAATCTTGATAACTAGTATACTGATTTTTATGCACATTCATTTCCTCCTGGAATTGATAATCCAAATATAACAGCTTTTAGAGGAGAGCATAGGGAGACTTTTATCAGTTTCTTCAAATCATGCGCTTCTGTGGGATGCGTAAGGGTGAAGATTTTAAACCTTATAGCCCGTAAAATCACAGGGCCATCTAACTGACAGCTTAGCCGACATGGGCCGGCTACCCTCATAGAGACAGATGAGCTGCTCCGGTCGTCTGCATCCCACACTCCACCCTCGATTTCCTGGGAAATCGTGTTTTTACAGTATCCAGTTTGTGAATTTTCAGCATCATTTCTACCCTGATAACCAAAATTATTTTCCCCTTTTCCAGTCTGCTGTCTTTTATCATGGCCCCTTGGATATCAATGGCTTGTATTTCAGAAGTGAAGATGCTCTTAGACTGTTTCATGTGATAAATTTCAGCCCCAGTCTGTATTTTCATTAAGCATTTTCCAGCTCTGTTCTCTTTTCCCTTTTGCTAATGTGCACCATTTCCTAAGGAAGTTTCCTTAGGAAATGGTGCATTAAAGAAAATAACTATGATTGACACTTTTCCCGAGACCGGGAAAAGAATTGTATGACATCCAGTGAAATGCAGAAGTACAGGTCCTTTCTGCCTGACATTAAGTTCAACTTTGTGTCAAAGCCGAAATCATCACAGAGGAAAAGTACTGCACAGCGCTAACTGCTGTTTCCTCTCCTCAGTCACAGCTAAACAAACCTCTTGTCTTTCTCCGTGGCGTTTTTGGTTTTCATTTTTTAACACTAATTGCATGCTGTTTTTACCTCATTTTCATAAACCCATAAATTTGAAAGACTGTCTTGCTGATAGTGTATTATTAAGAAGGCAAAGTGGGGAATTACGATTATTTTTATAGCTAAGCACCAGTTGACCAGGATTGTCCCTGTTATTGAACACAGGTCTCCGTGGTCTGTGGTTTTCCTTTTATTTAAACAAAGCTTTTGTAATAAAGTATTTGAAATATATTTAGAAAAAGTCCCTCAGACTTGAAATTCAGTCCAACATGATAAAGAAGAGTTAAAAAAAAAAAAACAAACCTCTTAACTATGTATGGACCTACCTAAAAAATAGTTTTAAAATACTGAGACGAGCAGATAATATATTTAAATTAACATGTTCAGTGGTGTTGTGAACTGTAGTATCTTCACGCCTTCAATTTTCTGTCCGTAGCCCAGAGAGAAGGGTCGGATGCGCTTTCATAGACTGCAGAATGTACAGATTGCACTGGACTATTTGAAAAGACGCCAGGTATGATATTTTCCAGACTCTAGCCTTATAAACGTAAGTGATTGAGTAAATCTACACAGGGATATGTCAGGAAATGTAAAGGTTTAATTGGGTCAGCTCTATAGTAATTATCGTGCATGTCGCTGAGGCAAATGTTTAAGGATGTTTTCAAACATCTGTTGCTGAGGAGAGGAAGTTAGTCCTGAGTGCAAGCTTGCAAGAATGGTGAGTGCTTTATTGAGTACAGCGGCATATTCAGATGCCTGTGAATATGGCAGTTCCTGGTAGGGTGCACCAACACTCCACTGTTTTCACTGCATATATTAGAATGTTTTTGTACTTGATACCCTACTTCTAGAAGCAATGTGTGCAGTGTTTGTACTTACGAGTGGTGTAGCCAGCTTCTATTTGTTATGAGTAGATAACTGGCTTGGTCTTATTTGTGCTGCTATCATAGAATATAATTCATAAAGGACAGAATCCATTCCTTGTGGTTCTAGACTCTCTAAAGGCAGGACATTGAAGGTCAAGACAACAACACTTGGCCCTGGCAAAGGCCCCCTGTATTCTCACATGACGGAAGGGTCAAGGGGCAGAAGGCTGTAAAAGTATCTCCCTTGCTTCACCATTCTCTATTACATAAGGAAACAAAATGTCCAACATAATGACATCGGCATTTAATTCTTTTGTATAAGGAGCGAATGTTGGAGACCATTACATTTATCCCCCTGAATGTCAGAGTTGAGCAGTTGATAAGCTTCGGCTTTGAGTATCTCAGTATTCTATAATGTCTGCTTAGCTTCTAGATTTAAATACTTATGATAGAAATTCGTTTTGTAAAACAAAAACAAAAACACCTCTGTAGTAGAGGGACAAGCTGTTCAAGTTGTTTATGGCTCAGAGCATTTTCTGCTTGGTGTGAAAGGGTGACGTCAGCTCATTTCAGAAGAAGTCATCACCTGATTTTAAGATCCACAAAGGTTTACCCATGCCTCGTCGTTTTGAGTTGCTTATTTTGACAAGTGGACACTTCTAGTACTTGTCGTAGAAGACCACCACAATATCCAGTGTAGACTGGTCTGTTTTCTAGACCACAGAAGGGAGGGGTAAACACTAGTGATCTGTGTACTCTTTGTGTGATTTAGCATTTCTTTTACAGGTAAAGAGAACCTGTGCTTAGTTTATAATAAAGTTTTTTTTTTTAAATCTTCATCCATAAAACAGGTGAAGTTAGTGAATATTAGAAATGATGACATAACAGATGGAAATCCGAAGCTGACTTTGGGGCTAATATGGACAATAATTTTGCACTTTCAGGTAAGTCCAGCTTTTCTTCATTGCTGTTTCTATGTCTTGCAGCTGATTTTCAGGTGGCTCACAAGAAGGTGTTTTATGTCCCCTGACTGGAAAGCAAATGTCAGGCTCATTCCCTAACAGTACTCTAGTTACTCTCTCTAGAACACTGTGCGTAGTGTCTTGTCTCTTGGTCTCCAGGAGCGTCTATATTTGCCTTTAAAGACCTTCTCTTCTAATCTTGAGCTAGAGATCCTTTTTTTTTTTTTCTGAATGCTGACATGTTTCTTCTTTTCTTTGGGCGGCATTACGTGTTTTAGCTGTGTAAAGATTCCGTGACTCGAATCCTCACTTCCGAGCATTTCATCCGTATTGGAAATAAGTTAAATTCCCTCTAGTAGACACTAGGTGGCAGTACAAGTAGTCTTAAAAAGCCAGGTTTGAAGACAAGCATCACATACAGCCTTATGTAGATATAGGACAGTGATACATTTTGGGGGGAAATCTGTAATTGGATTTACAGTCTCACACCTTTGTAACTTGCTGTAATCCTTTTGCTGGTCATAGTCTCACACAATTTTTGTCAGGCCCTCAGGAGTACTGTGCAATCAGATCGTAAAGGAAGAAAATAAATGGCTTACCGACTTCAGAAAGGAAATGGGGTTCTTAATCAAATCTTGGGGGGAAATTGTAAGATGTATTAAAGTAATACTGGGAAGTAAAGGACCTCGTCTGGGAGCAGGATCTGAGCCATATGGAAAATCTAGAGGGGGAGAATCATCCTAGGGCGAAAGCCCCAGGGCCTGGTAAGGCTGGGCAGGTGGGGACATAGGATTAACCAGCCTGCCTCCAGGACTGTTGCTGAAGTCAGGAAAGCCAGTAAATAACTGACTGCAAGCCAAGACTCCAGAGCACCAAGGGTCGTCATCACCAGACGACCCCCGCCCTGAAAAGTACTAAGAGGCATCAGCACTACACCAAGGCAAGACTTTGCATGTGAGACACAAGCCAGCCCGTGTTACCAGAACTGTATCGAGTAGAAGTACCCAAAACTCTCATGTAGAGTCACTCAGTTTTGTTATCTCCTAGACCTCAGTGCTTTAGAGCCAGTACTGTAGTTGGATGATCATTATTACTATCGATTATTATTTATTATTATTATTGCTCTCTTTTGGGGGCACCACCCAACTCCCAAATAAATACAGAATCTTATCATTACTTATAAATGACCGGCCTTAACTTGGCTTGTTTCTAGCCAGCTTTTCTTAACTTAAATTATCCCATCTACCTTTTGCCTCCGGGCTTCTACCTTTTTCTATTCTATATCCCCTTCTTCTCTTCTTACTCCGCGGCTGGTGGTGCTGCTGGGTGGCTGGCCCCTGGGTCCCCCTCGCCCCCTTTTCTTGCCCCCTTTTTCCTCTCCTCAGATTTTTGCTCCTATTTATTCTCTCTGCTTGCCAGCCCCGCCTGGCCTTTCTCCTGCCTTGTGATTGGCTGTTCAGCTCTCTGTTAGACAGGCACAGTAACCCAGATTCACAGAGTTAGAGGAATGTAACAGAATGCCGCACATTTTCGCCTCATTAGATACATATCCCGCGCCATAAACGGATGTAACACGTCTTCAACTAACATTCTGCAACACAGTACTTTTAAATGGGGGTTGAAACTGCAAGGCCCCATCACAAAGCTGACATAACAGGCTGTGTCTACAGGTGGGTACCACACTAGAAGTCACTGTGGGCCAATCAAAGGCTTCAGAGGAGGGAAGCAGAATTTCATTCTTGGCCTGACTAAGCTTGAGGGGGAAAATGTTTCGATAAATAAAAGCCGACGGGCTAGGGAGATGGCACAGTCTTGTCGACAAACCCCAAGGCTTGACCTTGATTCCTGGAGTCCACGTGGTGGAAGGAGAAGACCAAGTGTGGTCAGTAGTCTCCGGATGTCTAGCTGTATGCCAGCATGAGTACCCCTCTCCAATAAGTAAGATGTAATTAATTTTTAAATCTGTAATTCTGTGTAAAGCAGATGGTGAAGTGGTTTCAGAGGGGAGGGATGCAGGCCCGGTGGGGATGAAAAGTCCGTACAAGAGGTGACAGTTGGAAAACGGAAGAAAGACACTGGGCTGCAGGGTTTAGGAAATGGAGAACGGGGCTCGGGTTAAACTCCTTAAGACGTCGGAAAACATTGTGAGCTCTGGGGTTGGTAGTGGGGGAAACTGGTTGACCCGGTGGATGGGTTTGAAGGGTAAGCGAGCTAACCTGTGTCCCAGTCTGCTGAGCAGAGCAGATGTGAGAAGTAGAGGTACAGGGGCTTATCAATGCAGATACGGTTGTTGAGTGGGTCCCCTGGGGGGACGGCCCATGATGACAGGGGCCCATGATGACGGGGGCAGGGGCAGATCTTGCTGAGGAGACAGAAAATAATGAATATTCAGAGAGAGGTGTGAAGCAACAGAAAAATGAATTGATGAAGCCATGGAAGAAAACAGGAGTAGAAAAGGACAGTTAGCAGTCTGAAATGCCACCAGGGTTGTGGAGGGAACACACCCCCCCCCCCCCCCGCCGCTTGTAGCAGGAACTAGAAAGCGACAGCCGGGAATGTGGGTAAACGGGAATTAGAAGCAATGTGTATACAGACTCTTCATTTGAGGGAATTTAAAGCCAAGGGTCATTTAAGAAGAATTACACGTTAGCCCAGCCATTGCAGTACTTACTGCTTGTGTCTCAGCATCAGGGATCAGAGGCAGGAGGACTGAGGCTTTGAATAAGGTTGTTTGAGTAAAGTGTAACGACACAAAGCTTTTCTTAGCGCTGTGCAGTTCGAAGATCCGAACTCCTTCTGGCCATGGCCAGAGAGGAGAGTGGGGGTCACCCTCACCCAGAGCGGCTCAGCCTTTTATTTCCTCTACTTGTTGCATGAATAAGGCAAGACTTTCAGAAGAGCCGCTGGCCTGCTTTTAAAAAATACTGCTTTTGAGCATCACAAGTTGAATCTGTTTTTGAATCTGGCATTTGGAAGGTAGGAGTTATATTCCTGGCAGCATCATGTCCTAAAGCTCTATATGCTAGGTCCTGATGGGGTGTGTTGTGCTGTTAAAGTATTTCTTATAAGGTGACTGTAATCAAGAGTGATACATCCATTGGCAATAGAAATACAAATCGACGTGTATGAAGAAAGGTTTGGGGCCTGTGCCAGGCCTGGCAGGGTGTTAGAGAAGAAGCCTGGGAAAGGGACCCATTCCTAGGCACATGTAAAAGCTGAGCCATTTCTGGAAGGGGACAGTGCATGTGACCTAACCATGGACAGTTGCTTAGTTTGGCAGGGCCAGACGGGAAGGGTGGAGGGAGTGTGCCAGTCACGGGTTGCTTCTCCAACCTGTGAGTACAGGCATCAGCACTTCTGGGTAAAGTGCTATCCCATCACCGCTGAAGAGGTCGAACACCGAAGAACAAACAAGCCCAAGACTATGTCACTGGATAGTTTAATTTTCTCTTGAAATAATTGTGAAACCCTTACAAAACAGATGATGTTACAGGCAGGCATCTACAACATCAGCGCTAACGTGACCATTTGGTTGGATATCCGTCCTCAGTAAAACACGGCGGGCTCCGTTTCTGACTGGTGGAAGGCTGCCTTTGGAAAGGCAGCGATCCACTCTCCAGATGACTTTGACCCATGTGCCAGTCTCCTTCATGTCACACTGATTTCCTTTGCTCTGTGTCATGACTCAGTGTTAGAAATATGCACAGCTCAAAGTATCGGTCTCCATACTGATTTCTTCATTTTCCACCGTGACCCTCCTAAAGCCGTTTAATAAGTAACCCGAGTGTAATTACAGAGCATAAAGTTTAACCACCCTAATGTATGTGTCAGCTGTGCGGGCTCTTCCTTTGGCCGAGGGTTCCGCCCTTAAATCACTCCATTTATTCGTTTGCTCATGTGACAATCCTAATGAGCAGATAACTTAGAGATTCTTTATTAGAAAATATGTCAAACTGTATTAAAAGACGGGCTCTAGAGATGGTTAAGGTATTTTTGGTCCTCAGTATTTTTGTCTCCCCTTCAGCCAATAGTTGAATCGGGTTTTTACTCTATTGTTTTTCTGTGTTGGTCTTCACATAGAGGCTCTTAGGCTTTCTATTTGTGTGTGTGTGTATGCCCTAAATTTAGTTGGTGATTTTTAAGGTGGGGGGAGCCATACAGGAGCTGCTTTCCGAGCCTCAGTTTGAGAGGCACTTTGAGACGGAACTTGAAGGACACTTTACCAATATGTCTCTTGGCTGTGTTTACTTTCCGTTCGCTCAGCTTCAGAGGTTAATGCGGGTGGTGATAGTGTGTGCGCATTTCAGGAGGCACTGTGTAAATCTTCGGGTCATGGTCTCTGGGGTGGAGCTCGGGGTTTGCCTCGGAAGCTCACTGGTGTCTGTTTGACCGTGAGCGGTCTTGTTTGTCTGAGAGGACCAGTGGCCAGGAATAAGCCACAGCGCTTAATAAGACACAGAGACCAGCTGGCAGGGTGCCACGGCATTTCTTGCAAGTGGTTTTTCTCATAAGCAACATGGCTTCAGGCTGAAGAGGATGGCCACACAGCCTGCTGGGAATCACGGGTCTGAGTGGACTCGCAGGACCTGCTAGAGCCGGTCCTGGACGCCCTGGATTTTGAAATGAGTGAGTCTGTGGATCTGTGAGTGCCTGTGGACCCAATGGGGAATGTCTGTGGCTGTGTTCGGGCTGAGAAAGAAGAACAGTATTTTGATCCTGCCAAAACTCCCTTGAGCCCTGAAAACTACTCTCCCGGAAGGAAATATTTCAGAAGAAAACTGGTCCCCAAAGCTGTAGGTGACCCTGCTCCTGTGGGGCGAGGCAGTAAAAGAGAAGGCAAGAAGGGTAGCTGTCAGCCTGCCAGGGAACAGCCGGCTGTGTCATCCGGAGAGCCGGTGCCAGGAGACCCCACCACGAGCCCCACACCGGAGGGCGGTGTGCAGCCTGGGAAGACGGTTGCAGCAGGACACAGGGGACAGAAA